TCTGCCCAGGGAATATACCTCGCCCACTCCTCCGGCCGGCCCTGGCAATACGATCTCAGAAACCTACCCACATCCTGGTTCACTCGTTCTACCTGCCCATTGCTCTCCGGGTGGTACCCCGAGGTAAGGCTCACCGAGACCCCCAAGCGCTCCATGAACGCTCTCCAGACTCGGGAGGTGAACTGGGGACCTCGATCAGACACTATATCCTCGGGTACCCCGTAATGCCGGAAGACGTGGGTGAATAGTGCCTCAGCGGTCTGTAGGGCAGTAGGAAGACCCGGCATTGGGAGGAGACGACAGGCCTTAGAGAACCGATCCACAACGACCAGGATGGTGGTATTCCCCTGAGAGGGGGGAAGGTCTGTAACAAAATCCACCGAGAGGTGAGAAAAGGGTTGTTGTGGAATGGGCAGGGGTTGTAACTTCCCCCTGGGCAGGTGTCTGGGCGCCTTACACTAGGCGCACACCGAGCAGGAGGAGACATAAACCCTCACATCCCCGGCTAACGTTGGCCACCAGTACTTAGCGCTAAGGCAGTGCACTGTCCGGCCAATACCTGGATGTCCAGAGGAGGGTGACGTGTGAGCCCAATAAATAAGTCGATCCCAAGCCTCGAGCGGAACGTACGTCCGACCCACAGGACACTGTGGAGGGCTAGGGTCGGTACGCAATGCCCGTCGATTTCAGCATCGACCTCCCACACTACCGGTGCCACCAGACAAGACTCCGGTAGTATGGGAGTGGGCTCAACGGACCTCTCCTCTGTGTCATACCGCCGGGACAGGGCGTCTGCCTTACAGTTCTGGGACCCAGGGATGTACGTGATTTTAAATACGAACCGGGCTAGAAACATGTTCCACCGAGCCTGGCGAGGGTTCAGTCTCCTAGCTGCCCGGATGTACTCCAGGTTACAGTGGTCAGTCAAAATGAGGAAAGGGTGTTGAGCCCCCTCAAGCCAATGCCTCCACACCTTTAGGGCCTGTACCACGGCTAACAGCTCCCTGTCCCCTACGTCATAATTTCGCTCCACCGGGCTGAGCTTTTTGGAGTAAAAAGCACAGGGGCGGAGTTTAGGTGGCGTGACGGACCGTTGCGATAGCACGGCCCCTATACCGGCCTCAGACGCGTCCGCCTCTACCTGAAATGGTAAAGCGGGATCCGGATGCGCCAGCACCGGAGCCGAAGTAAACAGGCCCTTCAGTCTCCCAAAAGCCCTGTCCGCCTCAGCTGACCACTGCAAGCGCACCGGACCCCCCTTCAGAAGAGACGTTATGGGAGCTGCCACCTGACCAAAACCCCGGATAAACCTCCGGTAGTAATTCGCAAAACCCAAGAACTGCTGCACCTCTTTAACCGTGGTTGGGGTTTGCCAATTACGCACGGCTGACACACGGTCAACCTCCATCTTCACCCCTGACGCGGACAACTGATAACCCCAAAAGGAGATAGACTCCTGGAAAAACATACATTTCTCTGCCTTGACATACAGGTCGTGCTCCAACAGCCTCCTCAACACTCGGCGCACCAGTGCTACATGCTCGGCTCGGGTAGACGAGTACACTAGAATGTCGTCAATGTACACGACCACACCTTGCCCCTGCATGTCCCGGAAGATCTCATCCACAAAGGATTGGAAGACTGAAGGAGCATTCATCAACCCGTATGGCATGACGAGATACTCGTAATGACCCGAGGTTGTACTAAATGCTGTCTTCCATTCATCGCCCTCCCTAATGCGCACCAAGTTGTAGGCGCTCCTGAGATCCAGTTTTGTGAAGAAACGCGCTCCGTGTAATGATTCCGTCATAGTCGCAATCAGAGGGAGTGGATAACTGTATTTCACAGTGATCTGATTGAGACTACGGTAATCAATACACGGGCGCAATCCTGCCTCCTTTTTCTTCACAAAAAATAAGCTCGAGGACGCAGGGGAAGTGGAGGGCCGTATGTATCCTTGTCTCAGAGACTCGGCTATGTATGTCTCCATAGCCCCCTTCTCCTCTTGAGACAGAGGATACACATGGCTCCGCGGAAGCGCTGCTCCTGCCTGGAGGTCTATCGCACAATCCCCCTGTCTATGAGGTGGCAATCGCGTCGCCCTCGCCTTGCTAAACACGAGTGCTACCTCCTCATACTCAGGGGGAATGTGCATTGCGGGCACTTGGTTCGGACTCTCCACCGAGGTCGCCCCCACGGAAACACCCAGACACCGCCCCACACACTGGGCAGACCACTCCTTAAGAGCCCTCTGTTGCCACGAAATAGAGGGATTATGGGTAATCAACCAGGGAAGCCCCAGCACCACTGGATACACAGGAGAGTCGATCAGATATAACTGAATAGTTTCCTCATGACCCCCCTGCGTACTCATCCTAAGTGGCGCTGTGACCTCCCTAATCAACCCCGATCCCAACGGGCGGCTATCTAGTGCATGTACAGAGAAGGGAGCATTGACAGGAAGGAGGGGAATCTCTAACTTTACACAAAAATTCCGATCAACAAAATTCCCAGCTGCGCCTGAATCTACTAGCGCCTTATGCTGGGAATGAGGTGCAACCTGTGGAAAACTCACAGGTATACATAGGAGCACAACAGAGAGCTCTGGGTAAGTGGGGCGCCTACTCACCTGGAAGGACTCCCCAGTGCGTGGCCTGTTGTCTCGACCCCCTGGAGACCCTCCCCAGCACCTAGCCGCAGTGTGCCCTCCACGGCCACAGTTGGTGCAGGGGACGGCCCCCCTCGGGCTCCTTCTCCTCCTCTCTCTAGCGCCAGCACCCCCGAGCTCCATAGGGCTCAGCTCGGAGGTGCTGGAGGGTGGAATGGACGGCCCCCACTCGGGACGTCCGCGGGTGACCAGCAGGGTGTCGAGACGGATGGACATGTCCACCAACTGGTCGAACGAGAGGTTGGTGTCCCTGCAGGCCAGCTCTCGGCGGACGTCCTCCCGCAGACTGCATCGATAGTGGTCGATGAGGGCCCGCTCATTCCACCCTGCATCCGCCGCTAGAGTCCGGAATTCCAAGGCGAACTCCTGGGCGCTCCTCCTCCCCTGTCGGAGGTAGAATAGACGCTCCCCCGCCGCTTCAGGGCCGTGTTCGACCATCCACCCGAGGGGAAAGCGGCGGGGGAGCGTCTATCCCCCTCCATTCGGCGTTGGCCCACTCCAACGCTTTGCCGGTGAGAAAGGAGATGAGGGCGGAAACGCTCTCGTGTCCCGAGGGCGCCGGGTGTACGGTGGCCAGGTAGAGTTCCACCTGCAGGAGGAACCCCTGACACCCGGCAGCGGTGCCATCATACGCCCTCGGGAGCGAGAGCCGAATCCCACTGGGTTCCGGAGCTTGGATGGGCGGACTGGCCGATGGTGGTGGTGAGGTAGGTGGAGGTGTGGGTACCCCTCTGTTCTCCCATCGGTGCAGAGTATTTATCACGTCCTGCAGGGCGGTCCCGATTTGATGGATCCTGTCGTCCTGCCCGCGGACGCTCTCCTCCAACGACTCGGTCGCTGCTGCTGCTCCTGCTGATTCCATAGTAGGTGTGTAATTCTGTCAGAATGCTGAATGTGGATGTGGTGCAGGAATCAGGCGCAGGACACAGAAGCTTCGTCCAACAGACTTTAGTAGACGACAACGAAATACAAACGGGCCTCAAAAGAGCCCGGAGGCGAGCGATTACGCACACCGTGCGTAAACACCAAAATACAATAAGCGCGCACACAAGTGCGAAAACTCTCCAAACAATGGAGCAAAACAATCACAGCACCTGCTGACAGGCGGAACAATTACACACAACACACGACTAACAAAACAAGAACTTATAGGACACATAATTAACACTAAACGGAAACAGGTGTACAAATAAGACAAAACCAAACAAACATCGAAAACATACAACGGTGGCAGCTAGTACTCCGGGGACGACGACCGCCGAAGCCTGCCCGAGCAAGGAGGAGGAGCAGCCTCGGCCGAAACCGTGACATGGATGGCGCTAAATACAGGGAAATTCTTGAGGGAAACCTGTTTCAGTCTTCCAGAGATTTGAGACTGGGACGGAGGTTCACCTTCCAGCAGGACAATGACCCTAAGCATACTGCTAAAGCAACACTCAAGTGGTTTAAGGGGAAACATTTCAATGTCTTGGAATGGCCTAGTCAAAGCCCAGACCTCAATCCAATTGAGAATCAGTGGTATGTATATTTTCTTAAATTCCATTCCTTGCTAGTTTTGTGTGTGTTGGGTATATGTTGTGAAATTGTTAGATATTACTTGTTAGATATTACTGCACTGTCGGAGCTAGAAGCACAAGCATTTCGCTACACCCGCTATAACATCTGCTAAACACGTGTATGTGACAAATAACATTTGATTTGATTTGAAGATTGCTGTACACCAGCGGAACCCATCCAACTTGAAGGAGCTGGAGCAGTTTTGCTTGAAGAATGGGCAAAAATCCCAGTGGCTAGATGTGCCAAGCTTATAGAGACATACCCCAAGAGACTTGCAGCTGTAATTGCTGCAAAAGGTGGCTCAACAAAGTATTGACTTGGGGGGGTGAATAGTTATGCACGCTCAAGTTTTCAGTTTTTTTGTCTTATTTCTTGTTTAAAAAATATTTTGCATCTTCAAAGTTGTAGGCATGTTGTGTAAATCAAATGTTACAAACCCCCCAAAAATCTATTTTAATTACAGGTTGTAAGGCAACAAAATAGGAATAATGCCAAGGGGGGGGGGGGGGGGGGGGGGATAATATTTTCGCAAGCCACTGTAGTTAGTTAGTTAGTTATATGTAGTTAGTTAGTTATATGTAGTTAGTTAGTTATATGCAGTTAGTTAGTTAGTTAGTTAGTTATATGTAGTTAGTTATATGTAGTTAGTTAGTTATATGCAGTTAGTTAGTTAGTTAGTTAGTTAGTTAGTTATATGTAGTTAGTTAGTTAGTTAGTTAGTTACATCTAAAAATTAATGCCTATCATCATTGGAAGACGTGTGTGACACACTTACCAGTACTCCAAAGGCGATGATCTTGAGCACACACTCCATGGAGAACAGCGAGGTGAACACGATGTTCAGGTTGGCCAGCACAGCCTCGTAGGCCGGAGAGGCTCCGTCATACTACACACACACACACACACACACACACACACACACACACACACACACACACACACACACACACACACACACACACACACACACACACACACACACACACACACACACACACACACACACACACACACACACACACACACACACACACAAACACACACACACACACAAATATATGCACATAGACATACACAAGTACACAGAAATGCACAATAACACAAATACACAGACACACAAATAAATGCATAAAGGAATATGACAAATATCATCCAAACACACACAGAGACACAGACAACCATGGACAGAGAGGAAGACACATATGAAGACAGATAGAGACACTCACACAGGTTAGCACACCCAACAAAGGTAGAACAATTAGTTTAGTGTGTGTGTGTGTGTGTGTGTGTGTGTGTGTGTGTGTGTGTGTGTGTGTGTGTGTGTGTGAGAGAGGATTGAGGGTAATTATGAAGAGAGACAATCAGTGTGTGTCCGGGCTTGTCATACCTTCATCATCAGTACGATAGTATTGAGCGCGATCATAGCCATGATTGTATACTCGAATGGCGGCGACACCACAAACTCCCACATGCGGTACTGGAAGCTTTGCTTGTTCTTAGGCATGTGTCGTGTCAGGGGTTTGGCATTAATGGCGAAGTCTATGCAGCCTCTCTGGAAACAGACAGACAGACAGACAGACAGACAGACAGACAGACAGACAGACAGACAGACAGACAGACAGACAGACAGACAGACATACAGACAGACAGACAGACAGACAGACAACAATGGGTTAATATCTCACTGACAGTGCTGTGGTCTTCAAACCTGATCTTGCAAACCCACAGGATGTGTAGGCTTTTGTTCTAAAGATGAGAAGATATTCAGCAACTTGGTAGGACAATGGAAGTTTCGGTAACACTTTACTTTACACGGTCCTAACCATGTCATAATATGTCATAACAGCTGACATATTGTGTCATAACCTGTCATAATATGGTCATAACACTGTCATGACCCATATATTTACACCTGTTGTGACATATATTGAATTATTTTATGGCTGGTTATGACACCTACATAAGAGTGTCAAAACCCATATTTATTAGTATTTTTCCCTGCAAGAAGTTTGTTTGAAAGTTTGTTGCTTAAATCCTTTGTTGTTGTCATTCTTTACAGTCATGTTTTTTTTCTCCATCATATTTTAAATAACTTGTACAAGAAAATACACTTTATGACACTGTCATGAAGCATTATGACCATCATAATCATATAAGCCAGATAGGCCTATCATGTACATGCCATTATATGTTATCAGTTAAAAAGAGGGTGTCTTGTCCTGCTCCTGAAATCTGATCCTGCATTCATCAACAGAGCATTGGGGTAGGTGCATGTCTGACATCAATTTGTGCGCAATTACAATGATAATTTAATATGGTCAATAAAAAATTAAAAAATTATACAACATAAACATACTGCTGACACGTAGGCTATAGTGTAATGGAATGTTTTGCCTTGTGTGGTTGGTTTTGCGGGTTTTGAAACTCTTATGTAGGTGTCATAACCAGCCATAAAATAACGCAATATATGTCACAACAGGTCTAATTATATGTGCCATGACCATTTATAACAGGTTATGACAAGTTATGTCAGCTGTTATGACATATTATGACATGGTTATGACCGTGTCATAACGTGTTATGATGGTGGATGTTAAGTAAAGTGTTACCGAAGTTTCCCACTAGGCACAGACATCAATTCAACGTCTATTCCACGTTGGTTCAACATAATTTCATTGAAATTATGTGGAAACAACGTTGATTCAACCAGTGTGTGCCCAGTTTGTTGCTTCAAAAATGAATATGTTATTGTTACAACCAATGTGTTTCAGCGAATGCCTTCACCAGGCTTTTGTTCTAGCGTAGAGCTTAAACATTTGACTAAACTAATTGAGACCTGCGGGACTAGGTCACACCACTGAGGGGTTTGAACCCCAGCCATCTGTTCTTAAGGAGAGCACACTAGTCACGGTCCCAACTGAGCTATCTCCCTTGGATGTTTTTGTCACGCTCTTAAAAGCCTGGGGTTGTTACAAATAATCGCTCAAATGTTTTGGACTAGCATGCAGTATCTATGCCATCCTTTTTCATGTCATTCTTCTCCAACCTCTCTGCCTTCTCCCTCCCTCCCACTCCCCTCTTCCTCGCCCTCTCTTCTCACCTCGTTTTTCTCTAAACTGTAATCCTCCATCATCTTGTCTCCTTGCTCCTGGAAAGTGATGATGATGAGAGCTACGAAGATATTGACGAAGAAGAAGGGGAAGACCACGAAGTACACCACGTAGAAGATGGACATCTCCATCCGGTACCCCGGGCTCGGGCCCTGATTCTCATAAGTCGCATCCACTGAATGTTTCAGCACCCTGGAGGAAGTAAGAGAGGAGAGAGGGATGGTTAGGATAGGGGAGGGTGGGGTGCTTGTGTTTGGTTGGGGGTTGTGTTTGTGAGTTTGGGTGTGTGTGTTTGAGAGAGAGAGAGAGAGAGAGAGAGAGAGAGAGAGAGAGAGAGAGAGAGAGAGAGAGAGAGAGATATATATTATATATTATGTATATATACATAATATGACATTTGAAATGTCTTTATTCTTTTGAAACTTCTGAGTGTAATGTTTACTGTTAATATTTATTGTTTATTTCACTTTTGTTTACTATCTACTTCACTTGCTTTGGCAATGTTAACACACGTTTCCCATGCCAATAAAGCCCTTAAATTGAATTGAAATTAAATTGAATTGAATTGAATTGAGAGAGAGAGAGAGAGAGAGAGAGAGAGAGAGAGAGAGAGAGAGAGAGAGAGAGAGAGAGAGAGAGAGAGAGAAATTGTTTTTGTGTGTGTGCATGAACATTTGTCTGTGTGTCTATCAGTCTGTGTGTGTGTACTGTACTCACTGCGGCCACCCCTCTCCGGTAGACACGGTGAAGAGGGTGAGCAGGGCCCAAAGCACGTTGTCGTAGTGGAAATCGTACTTCTTCCACTCCCGCTTCTGCGCCTTCACTTCATTATTCCGCTCATAGACTAGATATTCGCCCCTGGAACACACAACAGATTGTTCATTGTTCATACGTAATACTATGTGTGTGTGTGTGTGTGTGTGTGTGTGTGTGTGTGTCTACATCATGTGTCCATACAGTATGTGTGTCTTCATGTGTGTGTCTTCTGACCTGCAATCGCGCTCAAACTCTTTGGACTCGTCAGTGCAGTAGAAGAATCTTCCTTTGAACAGCTGCACGGCCACCACAGCAAATATAAACATGAAGAGCATGTATACGATGAGGATGTTCAGGACGTTCTTCAGGGAGTTGACCACGCAGTCAAATACAGCCTGCAGACACAGAGATACACAGTCAGACAAAGGCACACAGCCCATCTGTATACGACTGAGCCACAGTCTAAAAATCCAGAAAACCCCGTGCAGATTTAAATAAAGGTTAACGATGAGAAAAATGAGATTCCAACAGCCTGGACACTGTAAGGTCCTACTTGGGAGAAATGTTTATCAGAATGGTGGATGTGGCTGTTAACAGACAGTAATAAACGTGGTTAGACTTGAACATACCTTGAGCTTTGGAAGACGCTTGATAGTCTTCAGAGGTCGCAACACTCTCAGAACCCTCAGAGACTTGATCGTGCTGATGTCTTTCCCCTTACTGCTCCCCCTGTTTCACACACACACACACAGACACACACACACACACACACACACACACAGACACACACACACACACACACACACACACACACACACACACACACACACAACACAACACAACACACAAACACAGACAACAGTCAGAGAGGGAGGGGATGGCACGTGGAGGAAGCTGGCGTAGCCCCTCTTGATTCAAATAGAAGAGGGTAGAAGTAGTAGGAGGCCATTCCTAGAAGGTAGTCGCTGAGTTCACTCACTGTGAGGAACTCAGACAGGGTTAGTTGACAAAGCAAAACATGCTATATTACAGTTTTTTACAATCACTTTGGCACTAATTTCAGAACCTTGATGTCATTTTTCAAAACTCTAGACACAAAACTCACAACCAATGATCAAAATGCACATTTTTCAAAACTCTAACACTTTTTTCAATTGCTTGGATACAATACACATAAAACTAAGATCATTTGTTCATTTAACAAAAATCACCTGTTCAATATGACACATCTTAACATCAAAGTACCACTATTTCAAAAGGCAATTCACACATTACATTTCAGATGAGTGTCTATTCATTTCATTACAATTATCCAACTATCAATTGATACAACTGCTCAAAATGATAAGTAACTGTTGCATTACTCTTAATGCATAGTTGTATGGAAACAGACAAACAATATTCCATGTTTAGATCATGAAAGTTTCAAGATAACGAGATTCATTGTCACCAATTAGCGTGGAGCATGAACCAATTAGACTACATTATCTATGGATGTAATATTTCATCATCATTCTTTATCAGACACCGTTTCTATGGTCCCATGTACCACCTTATCAGACTATTTACAGTATTGACAGTACTGCACTGTATGGATGCAGGCCCTTGTAATTGCTTGTCCAATTCTGCCAACTCGTTACTGATGATTGACTTCACATTGTGGAACGAGTATATCAAGACTTGATTGGGATCCACTTGCAACAACATAGCGATACGTACTGTAACATGGAGCCGGCAGGTGATCCAGGTCACAATAGAGGTCAAGCAGTGGTGGGAGGAAGACGAGGAAGACGTGTTGGTCAAAGGAATGGCAGGGGACAAGCACCCCTTCTGAGAGGTGGTCGTGGGCCTCGTTTGAGAGGTGTGGGGGAACGTGGTAGAGGACAAGGCCACGGACCAAGACAGCGGCAGCAACAGCAAAGAGTGTCCAATGAAATCCGAGCAATAGTTGTAGACCATGTCATAAATCATGGCATGACAATGACTGAGGCGGCTACAATGATACAACCAAACCTCAGAAGGTCAACCGTGGCCTCAATAATCAGAACTTTCCGCAATGAGAACCGGTAAATCGTCAGCATGCACTAAACATTATGCTACTCTCAATTGTCAAATGACTGCATACCAATGTGTATCACAGAGTAGGTGATGTGACCAAGTGTCTTCTTACTGTAATGTTCCCTGTAGAATTGAGACTAGGCCAAATAGGGGAGGCAGAGGCAAAATTCTGACTGACCAACAAGAGCAGGCTGTGGTCGATTTGGTTCGGGCCAGAAATGATAATCGCCTTACAGAATTTCGCCAGTATATCTTGGACAATGAAGACATGTTTAACAATGTGGAATCCATAAGTTTGCCGACTATTGCACGCATGCTGAAAAGGCACCAGGTGTCTTTAAAACAACTATACCGTGTGCCTTTTGAAAGGAATGCAGACAGAGTGAAACAAATGAGGACTGAGTATGTTCAGGTATGTTCAGTTTCAAGATGGCTGTTGTAATAAAATTCCCTAATAATTCTACATTGTACAGTAATCAGTAAATCTCTTTCCAAAATGTATTTTTAGAGGGTGATGGAGCTGGATGCTGATGACAACCATCAAACATTCATATATTTGGATCAGGCAGGCTTTAACCTGGCCCAGACAAGGAGGAGAGGTTTGGAATTTCATTGGCCAGCGGGCAACCATCCAAGTACCTGGACAACGTGGGGCCAACATTACCATGTGTGTGGCTATATCAGAAGATGGTGTGGTGGGACGCAGACCTCGTATTGGATCATATAATGCAGCTCTCCTTGTAACCTTCCTTGATGAGCTCGATCAGGTCTGTAGAGCTGATGGCGTGACCTATGTCATTGTGTGGGATAATGTCAGGTTCCACCATGCTCATATGGTGCAAGCATGGTTTCAGGCCCATGCACAATTTACCACCCTGTATTTACCCCCGTACTCTCCTTTCCTTAACCCGATTGAGGAATTTTTCTCCACATGGAGATGGAAGGTTTATGATAGGCGCCCTCATGAACAAGTCACTCTTCTCCAGGCCATGGATGACGCATGCAATGACATCACGGCAGACCAGTGTCAGGATTCGCCATGCCTGAAGGTTTTTTCCAAGATGTTTGGCTAATGAAAACATCCATTGTGATGTAGATGAGAACTTGTGGCCAAATCCACAAGACAGAGTTGATGAAAATCTAGAAGTACAGTAATCACTCCTATGTTTTGCTTTTTACAGTACAAGCAAGCAAGTTGAGGAACACTGCATTTGATGTTTTACAGTACTGTTTTGTTTTTCATCAATATATTTAAGATTTTGTTCAATGATTCCACTGTGTCTGTAGTATTCTCTCTACTACTGCAGTACTTTTACAGGGATGTATTTACATGTAGTACCATAATGAAACATGTATCACCTATTTTGTACTACAATATTTAATGATTGTTCGTACAATGACACAGTGAAACTATCGGTTGCTTGTGTGTGGGTGATCTAAATGAACGTTTCATTGGTATTTCACAATACATTAGTTTTTTGAACCAATGATTGTGCAAGTGCAAGATTTCTTTAAAGATATGAATGCACAATGCAATGTTTTGAACATTGGACAGCCTGTGTTACAAGTGATGACCGTTTTGAGTTTTGCGTCTAGAGTTTTGAAAAATGACGTCAAGGTTCTGAAATTAGTGCCAAAGTTATTGTAAAAAACTGTATGACAGACTACTTCTGCAAGGTTAAGTTGCACTGTACCTTCAGCTTTCTGTATGCCGTTACATGCTATGTAAAAACGGATTGTTCCATTCAAACTACTCTCAACAACTCTAGCACTGTGCAATGCATCATTCAACACTAAGCAAGCTGGCTGAACCCACGGACACATGCACTGAAATACTGAAACAGTGCAGTCTACTCATGCTGCTTTGAAACCTACAGTATTGCTTCCCATGCTGTATTGAAACCTTGTTCTCCATTGATAGCTAGAGGAATGGTGAACTCTTCTACACAGAGATAGTAGCTCTACCACTACCCTCCCCAAGCTGGTTTCATAGCATAGCCCAAACAGCATGAGATTATGTCTTGGTCTTTGGCAAAGACAAACATATTGCGCAGGCATTTCTGGACTGAAATGCCAAGCCAAACCTCTTTCTTTTTTTTGGAGGGGAGACTGTGGACATACTAACGTGTGTGGGAGTAGAGAGGATTCTCTCTGAATATCTGGTCATATATAGAAAAGAGACTAGCCCTAGCACCTGGTTGGTGGAGGTAATCCTGTTCAATTTGCATATAATATCTGAATGAATAACTAGCTGGCTAGCTAGCTAACTAGGTGGCTAAAAAGCTAACTAACTAACCCGCATCTCAGTAAGAGATGTCTCCAGATTTCTCCCTGGGTCTTCCCTACTCAGCCTAAGGGGGTGAAAGGTCAGCTGTGACCTCTCCAAGGTCAGGGGTCATGGTGGGGGATGCCTGAGGTCTTCTAGAACCTCCTGCTGCGGCTGCAGCTGTTACACCAGATGTAAGGCTACACATCTGTTTCTGCATGTGTGCAGGTATGTGTGTGTGTTTACAAAATCTGCCTGCAATGGTGTGTGTGTGTGTGAGTGTGCGTTTCCACGTGTCCGTGTATGTCTGATCTCAATGAGTAGTATTTCCTACGACTCACTGCCTCTCGCTGCTGTCTCCATCTGCTCTCTAGCTCCAGCATGACCAGCCCCAAAAACCTGTGGCAATTACTGCTGTTGTATCTACACTATCACACTTCCCCCTCCTCTTCACTTGATTCACTTGGTTCACCTATTACTCTGCTTCCTCTACTCTTTTTATTCTCATTGTCTCTTCTGAATCACTTGTGATTTGCTTTAGATTCAGTTCAGACTCACACATGAACAATTCACATTTGATTCATGTTGGATTCACTTGAGTCGTATGTTAGTTAGAGCTGTTCCACATAGAGAGCAGTGTGAACGACAGAGAGAGAGAGAGAGAGAGAGAGAGAGAGAGAGAGAGAGAGAGAGAGAGAGAGAGAGAGAGAGAGAGAGAGAGAGAGAGAGAGAGAGAGCGAGAGATAAAGACACGTGGGCGACGGACTTTGGGACGGACAGATTTAAAAAAGAAAGAGAGGAAAGCCATGTGATCAAAAGGACAAGCACTCAGAGTGCAGCAGAAGAGAAAGAGAGAGAGAACACAACTTTACCCGCTACTGCTCCTGTAGGTCCGGAACGGAGAGATCAGAAAGGGTCAAAGACAGCGAGACAGAGGAGAGAGAGAGAGAGAGGTGGGAAAAGAAAGAGACAGAGAAGGAGAGAAAACGAGACAAAGGGAAAAGGACAGGTTTGAAGGAGGAAAAACATCCATATGAGACGGAGAAACAGAGAGAGTGCAAGGCCTGTGTTTTGTTTGATCTCTCCCCTCTCGCATACACACATCTTCAACCTCCCCACATACACACTCCTAGCTACCTGTCTGTTTGTCTGTCATATCTTCAACCTCCCCAACATACACACTCCTAGCTACCTGTCTGTTTGTCTGTCATATCTTTAACCTCCCCAACATACACACTCCTAGCTGGGCGGCAGGTAGCTTAGTGGGTAAGAGCGTTGTGCCAGTAACCGAAAGGTCATGGTTCTAATCCCTGAGCCCTTAAGCAAGGCACTTAACCCTAATTGCTCCTGTAAGTCGCTCTGGATAAGAGCGTCTGCTAAATGACTAAAATGTAATGTAAATGTAGCTACCTGTCGGTTTGTCTGTCATATCTTCAACCTCCCAAACATACACACTCCTAGCTACCTGTATGTTTGTCTGTCATGTGAAGTTCCGTGGCTAATCAATCTATGCCTATATTGAAACCCATTATCACACATAAACACACACACACACAACCAGAGAACTCTATAACTGGGACACAGCACCAAACTAGTGCCACCATTGACGCTCAACATCAACGATGCTTTAACAATTCCATAGGGTCAACTGAGGGGAACATCCATGTTAGTAACCATAGTAACCAATATCAAACCACTTCCCTTCCAGCCATCTGATTGGTCCACTAGTGTAGGTGTGTACCAGTTTTGGCCTATCAGTGTCCTGCCTTGGGAAGGGGATTATGTTCAGGCACAGCAGTTCTTCTATTTATTTGAGAGGCATGCAGGATGACGGCACGAGCCCAGATACCACCGATCATCAGGCCAGACACTGGATGCCGGAGCAATTAGATCAAAGTGGTGATACAGATCTCCAATGGGAGCACTCGTTCTATCTGCAATGCTGCTTGATTTCAACCAATCGAATTAGGTCACTATCTTTATCTGTTAGAGTCTGCTCTGGCTCTGTGAGTTTTACTGTTATTTGACTGATCTATCAGAGTGTCTGTCTGTCTGTCTGTCTGACTGATCTATCAGAGTCTCTGTCTGTCTGTCTGTCTGTCTGACTGATCTATCAGAGTATCTGTCTGTCTGTCTGACTGATCTATCAGAGTCTTGTCTGTCTGACTGACTGATCTATCAGAGTCTCTGTCTGTCTGTCTGAGTGATCTATCAGAGTCTTGTCTGTCTGTCTGTCTGTCTGTCTGTCTGACTGATCTATCAGCATCTCTGTCTGTCTGTCTGACTGATGTATCAGAGTATCTGTCTGTCTGTCTGTCTGTCTGACTGATCTATCAGAGTCTTGTCTATCTATCTGTCTGTCTGACGGATCTATCAGCATCTCTGTCTGTCTGTCTGACTGATCTATCAGAGTATCTGTCTGTCTGTCTGACTGATCTATCAGAGTCTATGTCTGTCTGTCTGTCTGTCTGTCTGTCTGTCTGACTGACTGATATATCAAAGTATCTGTATGTCTGTCTGTCTGATCTATCAGAGTCTCTGTCTGTCTGTCTTGCTGTCTGTCTTGCTGCCTGTCAGTCTGTCTGTCTGGCCCTTTGTCAAACATTCCATTATACCCTGAGACTAAAAACGCAGGCCTAACACAGAAAGAGAAACACACAAACATACATATACACTCAGATAGACACACACATATATACAGTATGCATACATGAAGATATACATATATATGCAACACACATAAATACATACAGACATACATACAGAAAGACACACATATACATGAAATAAACAAACTCTTTGTTAGTGACACACACACACGCACACACACACACGAATACACTTGACAGCGACACACACACATACACACATAACATGGCAGAGATATGGATCAGGGGGTCAATCCCACAGACAGGGGGCGCCACTGCCACCCTGGAGCACCGGCCACTCAGAGGAAGACTAGCATGAAGTTGCCCCTAGACACTGATCTAGAATCAGATTAGTTTTTACCAGCCTAACGGGCAAGGTTAGGATTTATGGTAGGACAATCTGATCTTAGATATGTGGTTTGATGCAACTTCTACCTTGAGCATCCCATTATTCCTACAAAGCATCCTTTCCTTCATCTCCTTCACATGACTGCAGATGTGAAAGGACTGGATAGGCAATGGTAATGATGTGAATGCTAGCTGGGCAATGCTAACATTCTGTGAACCTATCCAGTCAGTGATCATGAAAAAGAAGAGAGGAGGAATGTAGGGGGGATCGATGAACAGTTTGTTTCTCTCCACAGGAGCAGAGTAAAGGAGTGAGGGATGGAGGGAGGGATGGAGGGAGGGAGGGATGGAGGGAGGGAGGGAGGGGGGAAGGAGGGAATATTCTGCAGGCACAGCCAGGCTTCTTTTTCTATCTTTCTCCCTTAGAGGAGAGGAACATGTACATGCCCACTGTAATATGGTAATCTGTTAAGCAAAGGGAGCTATTGTTAGGGCCTAGGGAGTATGGGTGGAAGGAAGGGACCATCCCTGAGGAGGTATAAGACATGCTTGGGCAGATACAAAGTGGAGTGATTTCTGTTTGTGAAACACGCAAACCCCTATCAGCTTATGAATTATCATATACTCAGAGCTATGATAAGTTCTTCATTAAAGAAATGAATGTTAGTTATAGCCATTCCCATTCTTATATGAATGTATATGGACCTCGAGTATGTATGTGTGTATGTATGCTTATGGGCACACCATCCTCATACCCGTGGTTTCCTTTAGGGTTGGGCTTTCGATTCCATTTTGATTCAGTCAATTCAGATGATCGATTGAAATTGAATGAATGGTTTTGAAAATATCCCAGTATTTTCTTTGAATTCAATTCAATGATTCAATTCCTGAATTGAGTGAATCAAAATGGAATCGACCACTGCCCTGGTCTCCATGTTTTTCCATTGTGCAATGATCCACCTGTATAAGGGGACTGGGTTAGCGTGGAAAGACTTACATCAATACTATCAGAATAACTCATGCACTATGTGTTCAGGTAGCATGTGCAATAATCAACTCACAAGCCTTAACCAATTACTTTATATCATGCAACTATGTGTAAATCATTGTCAAATCATATCCTAGGTCTAAATCAACCAGCCTAGAGAAATTGGCATCATTTTGTGAGTTTTGGACACCATTTCAGGCGCCACGCTATACGATAAGAGGTCTGGATCATGAAAAAGCTAACAATGCTAGCACGGTCCATTCACCTTGCCGTCCGATGGGCTTAGGAGGGTCATTTTTGGACCAGGATTTTAGCTATACTGTCTGATATTTAAAACGTCCTCATAGACACCCATAGGCACAGAGGAGGATGTCCTCACGCATACAGACAACAGGTCATACACTATATTCCAGAAAAATCTTATCAGTCAGAAAAAACATTCACATTTTAGCATCACACCCAACCCAACCATTCCCTTTAGTCTGTTGATCTATCCTGTGTCGGCCCATGTAGTCACATTAAGACTCAGCATCTCTTTTCAAGAGAGTCAATGTATCATTGACAAGGTATCAATGTACTATTCCAAGACCTACCCATCCTGCCTATTCCCATCTCATATTTATCCTTTCTCATCCCTTCCTCTCTGTCGCTCAACCCCACCTGCCCCCACCTACAACCCCAGCACTTCTCTTTCCCCACACCCCACATCCAGCTCCAGTTCCATTTAGCCTTAGCCTTAGCCCCAGCACTTACCCCATCCTAAACCTTTATTTCATTAAGGCAACCTTCTTTATCCCACACCAAGCTCCAGCCCCAGCCATAGTACCAGCTCCATCACCAGCCATAGCACCTGTCCCACTCCCAGCCCAAGCTCAGGCAGTGGCGTGCAGAAGAAGGAAGCTGAAATACCTGCTCCGTTGGAGGGGTGGAGGAGGGGTGCGGCTCGGGCCCCTCAGCTCCAGAACTGCCTGGGACACTAAAGGGTTACAGGTGCCTGGGGTGGTCCTCACACCCACGGGAGATAAGGGGGAGGAGAGGGGCGAGAGAGGGGGGCGTAGTGGACGTTGGAAGAGAAAGGGGGAGGGGGATAGTGGTTGACCGCAGGGGGGAGGAGAGGAAACGAGGAGCGAGGGGGGCAGGTGAGATGGGGAGCGGGGGTGCGGGGTAAAGGACAGGAGGAGAGAGAAGGGGTTGCCTCTGGCGAAAGATGATTGAGAGGAGGCATAGGGGAAACGGTAGTGCCAGTAGCCTGGGGAGTTGGATGTTATGGGAAGGTTGTGGGAAGGTTGTTGAGGTGCTTGCCAAAGACATCAGATTATGTATCATAATCGAGTGAGACAGCGCAAGACAGACAGAGGAGGTAAAACAGAGACAGAGTGAGACAGAAGAGAGAGAGCGTGGGAGTGTGAACGTGAGACAGAGCAAGAGCATGGGATAGATAGAGACAGAGAGAGAGAGTGACAGAAGAGAGAAGAGAGAGCGACAGAGGAGAGAGTGAGAGAGTAGGGCTTTGCTCCAGGGCGCCTGTGAGGCTGGCTGGCTGTGACGATGTGACCCCTTGGAGGACGGACAGCAGAGAGAGGGGGCAGAGTGGGGAGAGGAAGAGAGGGGGCAGCAGGCAGGACAAGAGAGAGAGAGTTGGGGGAGAGGAGGTGATGGGGCAGGAGGGTCACTTACGTGAAGGCGAAGGCCACCAGAGCACCACTAACCACTATAAAGTCCAGGATATTCCACAGGTCACGGAAATAGGAGCCCTGGTGCAACACCAGGCCCAGATCCACCATCTGAGAGAAGGGGGGGGGGGGGGGGGGGGGGGGGGGGGTTGGAGAGAGAGAAGGAGGAAGAGGGGGGGAGAGAAAAGAGAGAAAGAGAGAAAGAGAGGGGGGGGCGGTAGGGTAAGGGAGACGGAGAGATTGATTGTCTCACATCGAAAAATAACAAGTATAGCTAGAGTGAAGTAGATTCAGAGTTACCTTAATCAACATCTCAAAGGTGAACACTCCCGTAAACACATAGTCAAAGTAGCGCAGAACCTGCATAAAGGGAGAGAGAGGAAACAGAGTTAGCATGGGTAAAGTAGAAGCTAGCTAATAGTCCAGTTAGCATGAAGGGTATAGTAAAAGTTAGCTAATAGCTAAGTTAGCATTGAGGGTAAAGTAGAAGTTAGCTATAATAGCTAAGTTAGCATGGAGGGTAAAGTAGAAGCTAGCTAAACTAGCTATGTTAGCATAGAGGGTAAAGTAAAAGTTAGCTAATAACTAAGTTAGCATGGAGAGTAAATAGAAGCTAATATGGACACAGAGCTAGCATTGAGTGTCTCACATTGTTGCGAGGTGATTCTGGCCAGACGGGGTCTTCTGCTGCCAGGGCGATACTGCTCATAGCGATGGTAGACAGGATACCAAACTCAAAGAATTTCAGAGTCACAATGTAGTGGCATAGTCTCCGGAACCTGATCACACACACAGACCCACACATACACACACAAGCACGCACGTACACACACAGACACACACACACACACACAGACACACACACATTGCAACAACAACAGAAAATCATCATTAATATAATGAATAATGAATATACGTTTGTGTGTGTGATTGTGATTGTGATTGTGTGTGTGTGTGTGTGTGTGTGTGTGCATGCATGAACCCACTTACGGGTTGGTGGTAGAGAGGATGAACATGGAGCTATAGGGAGGCATTGGTTTGGGTCCATCTTCATCACCCTTCTCATCATCATCATCATCCTTATCCTCCTTCTTAGGCAGAGGCTCTGTGTTAGCATTCTTATTGACTGGAGGGAGGTAAGAGAGAGAGGGATGAGAGAGAGAGCGAGAGAGAGAGAGAGAGAGAGAGAGAGAGAGAGGGAGGGAGGGAGGGAGGGGGGGGTGGATAGGAAAGGAAAGGAAAGGAAAGGAAAGGAAAGGAAAGGAAAGGAAAAAAAAGGAAAGGAAAGGAAAGGAAAGGAAAGGAAAGGAAAGGAAAGGAAAGAAGGGAAGAAGAACAAGAATTCAGAAATAGCATGGCATGTGTGGCTGTTTCTCAATGTTTTGACTGAAGATGTCACCTGATAAACCTTGGTCATTCACAGTCTCCCTCCATCCCCCTCCCCTCCTCTTTCCTCCCTCTCTCTCACCCTGCAGTATGGCGTTGTGGGAAGGTATGTCCACTGCCGTGTGGTCCGGTATCCTGGGTGCTACTTCCGTATGCAGGAACCAGGCTTCCATCTGGGCCCAAGTGGGAGCTGCTGTTGGTCAAGTGAGTGTTGAGGCCTGCAGGGCCAAAGCCTGGGCCTGGAGTAATGTGGTTGGCTGGGCTGGGGAGGCCCGAGGCTGGGCAGGGCTGCTGGGTGGAGCCTGGGGGTAGCTGGGGCTGGTTGGTGGCCAGTTTACTGTTCATGACATTGTCCATGTCCTCGCTGTACTGGCTGTCCTGTCTACAGAGGCTCTTTTGGATGGGCCGTGTGGTGGACAGGTTGGGACCATCCCTATAGAGGGAAAGAGAAGGAAAGAAAGGAAGAAAGGGAGAAATTAGAGAGATTGAAGGAAGAGAAGAAGTATGGAAATGTCTGAAAGGTTCTGAGAACTACAGGGTGTGTGTCAGGGTCTCACTCACTTCCTGCGGTGTTGCCGCGTCCTCTTCCCCTCACCATCACACCCTGACTGAGTGCCATGTCGATGCCGCCTCTGCCTCCTCTCAGCTCCCTCACCCCCCTCCTTCTCCCCCTCGCCTCCTCCTTCTGTCCCCCTGCTCTTGTGCCGCCTTTCCCCTCCTCCTCCTCCTCCACCACCTCCTCCTCCACCTCCCCCCTCTTCGTCCTCTGGGGGCATGCGGTGCTGGCGGGGTTTCCTGTGCTCCGATGAGCCCACCTGGCCCCGTGGGTGGTGGTGCCTCCTCTGGGGCCTCACCTCTCCACTCTGGCCCAGTATCGTTGCATCTAGGCAGGTATGGGAGGAGTGGTGGTGTTGGAGCTCCTGGTGCTCCTTGCTCTCCTTGCGGCTCCTGCGGCTCTCCGTAGAGTCCACCCTCTCGTAGGGCCTTCCAGGGCCCGAACCAGACCCTGAGACCCCACCTCCTCCTCCCCCACCTCCTCTCTCGTGGGCGTGTGTCTGCTTGCGGAGCAGCTCGTCGGCGTGCTGCTGGCTGAGGCGGGGGTCAGGTTCTTTGGTGGTCTTGTTGGTGTTGTTGTTGCGGTTCTCCTGGGGGTCCACCACTAGAGGGCGGTCTGTATGGGTCTTCATGTCGGGACGGATGTGGCGGGAGTAGTTCACCTGGAAGAAAGTGGGAGGGGAGGGGGGGAAGGAGGGAGAGGTTGGGTTGGGAGAGTTGTAAGCAGGGGACGGACGAAGAAGGCCAGGCGGAATCAAGGAGAGGCATAATATCGTTAGCATCCCAGAGGTCATATAACCTCCTGTAACGCTTTATTTTTCTAAAACTTTATTAAATTATTGGTAATTAGCCAATAATTGTAATTATTTAATTCATTGACAAAAGCACCAACCATTATGTCACATTTGGTACCAGGTAGTTACCAAGTAGTTACCAGGTAGTTACCAATTATGCTGAACTAGATGAGGTAAACACCAGAAGGTATCATGCAGGTAAGTATCAGCTTTACCCAGACCAATAAAAAACGTTAACAACTTTCCCAATTTCTCCCCTTTCTGTTCCATCGTCGTCGTCCCCCCCCCCCCCCCTTCTCCATTATGTTTGTTGTCTCTCACTGTCTCCCTCCTTACCCCCCTCCCTCCTTACCCCCCTCCCTGGGGTGGCAGGTAGCCTAGAGGTTAGAGCGTTGGGACAGTAACCGAAAGGTTGCTTGTTTGAATCCCAGAACCAGCAAGGTGGAAAAATCTGCTGTTCTGCCCTTGAGCAAGGTAGTTAACCCCCACAGCAACTGCTCCCCTGGCGCCAATGACATGGATGTCGATTAAGGCAGCCCCCCGCACCTCTCTGATTCAGCTTAAATGCGGAAGACACATTTCGGTTGAAATCATTCAGTTGTGCAACTGACTAGGAATCCCCCTTTCCATCCCTCCACCCTCCTTTCCTTCCTTCCATCCTTCCCTCCTCCCCTCTATGTCTCCTCCCCCCTCCCTCCTCTCTCCTTGCCTTCCAGCGGTCCTCTGGGTCCAGTTCATTGTAGAGGGCCTCTCTGCTGGTCATTAGAGTCTGTTTCCTCAGCTCCTTGGTCCCTGTTTCCGGGGACACTGACTTACAAACCCCCCTTTCCTGTTTTTCGGGGGGGGCTCCTTACTAAAAGGGCGGGGAAAGGGAAGGGGGATAGGGGGGATGGAGGGGGGCAAGAAAAGGGGGGAAGGTGGGGAAAATTTTAAAAGGGGGAAAAGGGGGGAAGAAAAGGGAAAAAAGAGAGCAGGGGGGGGGAAAAGAGGGAGGGGGGAAGAGGCGGGGGGGAAAAAAGGGGTTGACAGATTTTGGGTTTAAGAAGCCCGGGGAGAAAGGGGAGGAGAAAGAAAAATTCCATAAAAAGGGGTTTAAAGTGCCCCCCGGCCCGAGGGGAGACAGGAAAAGGGAAAGGGGAACCAAAAAAAGGGGAGAAAAGAGGAGGGGTTGGGAGATTAAAAATCCCAGGTTAAGCATCAAAAAAAGGAGTAAAATCAAACCCCCAGACGTACAAAACCTACATACAAAGTTACAGAAATAAAACAAAAAAGCAAATACACAAAAAACACACGGTAAGCTCACATACACCACGTGTAAAGGGTCCCCCCTTGTTGGACCTAAAAGGGCAGAAACCAGAGCTACTAAAGGTGTAGGGCCCGCCACAGTTTCCCCAAAGCATGGGGAAAACCCAGACCACTTTGGGAAATAAACACGAGAGGGGCAAAAGAGGGAAAGAATATTGAGGAAAGGTTTTGGGAAATTTTACACATTAAACCCAGGGAAACCCCAAACCCAAAAAGGACCCAACGAAAAAACCCAAAAATGGAGTCTCAACAAAAAAAACCCAAAAGGGAAGTTCTGGGGGGAAAAAAGGGAAAACCCCTAGATGACCTCAAATTCCCAAATTTTTGACCACCCTTATAAAAGGCTCAGGTCAACAGAAAGGGGAAACTATTGGGGAAAAGGTTTTTTTAAATTTCCAAAAAAAAAAAAAGCCCCGGGGAAAACCCCCTTTTCCCCCCCCCCACCAAAACCAAAAAGGGGAACAACCCTTTTTAAAAAAAAAAAAAAACCAAAAAAAAAAAAAAAAAAAGAAAAAAAGGGGGGGGAAAAAAAAAAAAAAAAAGGGGGGGGAAAAAAAAAAAAGGGGGAAAAAAAAAGGGGGAAAAAAAAAAGGGGGGGGGGAAAATTTTGGGGGTTTTTTTTTGGGGGGGGGAAAAACTTTGGGGGGTTTTTGGGGGGCCCCGGGGTTTAAATTTGGGGAAAAGGGGGCCCCCCAAAAAGGGGGCCCCCCCACCAAACCCAAAAAAGGAAAAAAAAAAAATTAAAGGGGGGGGGGGGGTTGGGGGGAAAAAAAAAAAAAACCAAAAAATTTTTTTCCCCCCCCCAAAAAAGGGGGGAAAAAACCCCCCCCAAACCCCCCCAAACCCCCCCCCTTTTTTTTTCCCCCCTTTTTTTTTTTTTTCCCCCCCCGGGGGTTTTTTTTTCTTTTTTCCCCTTAAAATTTTTTTTCCCTTATTTTCCTTTTAATTTTTTTCCCCCCCCCCCCCCCTCCGGGGGCCCAAAAAAAACCCCCCCAAAAATTTGGGCCCCCTTTTTTTCCCCCCTTTTTCCCCAAAAAAAAAAACCCCCCCCAAAAAACCCCTTTTACCCAAAAAGGAAAAAGGGGGGGGGGGGCCCCCCCCAAACCCCCCGGGGAAAAAAAAAAAACCCCCAAAAAGGGGGCCCCCGGGGGGGGAAAAAAAAAAACCCAAAAATTTTTGAACCCCAAAAAAAGGGGGCCCCTTTTGGGGGGGGCCCCAAATTTGGGGTTTTTTTTTTAAGGGGGTTTTTTTTTTTAAAACCCTTTTTTTTTTTCATTAATTTAAAATTTTTCCCCTTTTTAAAAAAGGGGCCCCCAAAATTTTTTTTTAATTTTTTTTTTGGGGAAAAAAAATTTTTTTTAAAAAAATTTTTTTTGGGGGGGGTTTGGGGGGAAAAAGGGGGGTTTTTTCCCCCTTAAAAATTTTTTTTTTGGGGGGGGGGTTTTTTAATTTTTTTAAATTTTTTTGGGAAAATTTTGGGAAATTTCCCCCAAAAAAATTTTTTTTTTTGGGGGGGGGGGAAGGAAATTCCCCCCCCAAAAAAAAATTTTAACCCCCCCCAAAAAATTTTAAAATTTTCCCAAACCCCCAAAAAAAAAAAAAACCCCCCAAAAAAAAAAGGGGGGGGGGCGGGTTTTTGGGGGTTTTTTTGGGGGTTTTTTAAAAAATTTTTTTGGGGGTTTTTTGGAAAAACGTTTTTAAAATTAAAAAAACCCCCCCGGGGGGGCCCAAAACCCCCCCGGGGAAAAAAAAGGGGGGGGAAAGGGGGTTTTTAAAGGGGGGGGGGGGGAAAAAGGGTTTTTTTTTCCAAAAGGGGAAAAAAAGGGGGTTTTTTTTTTTTTTTGGGGGGGGTTTTTTGGGGGGGGGGGGTTTTTCCCGGGGCCCCCCCCTTTTTAAAAATGGCCCCCGGGGGGGGAAAAAAAAAAAAAAAAAAAAGAAAGGAAAAGGGTTTCCCCCGGAAAGGGGGGGGGTTTTTTTGGGGTTTTTTTTTGTTTGGGTTTTTTGGGGTTTTTTTTTTTTTTTTGGGGGGGAAAAAAGGGGGGGGGGGGGGGGGGGGGGGGGGGGGGGGGGGGAAAAAAAGGGGGGGGTTTGGGGGGGGGAGGGGAAAAAAAAAAAGGGGGGGGGTTTTTTTTGCCCCCCCCTTTTTTTTTGGAAAGGGGGGGTTTTTTTTTTTCCCCCCCCCCCAAACCGAAGGGAAAAAAGGGGGGGGGGGGGGGGGGGGGGGGGTTTTTTTTTTTTTTTTTGGTTTTTTCCCCTTTTTTGGGGGGTTTTTTTTTGGGGGGGGTTTTGGGGGGGGTTTTTTAAAGGGGTTTTTGGGGGTTTTTTTATTTTTTTTTGGTTTTTTGGGGGAAATTTTTTTTTTTTTTTTTTTTTTTTTTTGGGTTTTTTTTTTTTTTTTTTTGGGGGGTTTTGGGGGGGTTTTTTTTTTTGGGGGGGGGGGCCTTTTTTTTTTTTTTTTTTTGGGGTTTTTTTTGGTTTTTTTTTTGGCCCGGGTTTTTTGGGTTTTTTTTTTTGGGGGGGGGGGGGGGGTTTTTTTGGGGGTTTTTTTTGGGGGAAAATTTTTGGGGGGGGGGTTTTTTTTTTGGTGGGGTTTTTGGGGGGGGGGGTTTTTTTTGGGGGGGGGGGGGGGGGGGGGGGTTTTGGGGGGGGGGTTTTTTTTTTGGGGGGGGGGGGGGGGGGGTGGTTTGGGGGGGGGGGGGGGGGGGGGGGGGGGAACCCGGGAAAGGGGGGGCCCCCCCCGGGGGGGGGGTTTTTTGGGGGAAGTGGGCCCCCCCCCCTTTTTTTAAAAGCCCTTTTTTTTTGGGTTTTTTTTGTTTGGGGGTTTTTTGGGGTTTTTGGGGGAAAATTTTTTTTTTTGGGGGGTGGGGGGCCCCCCTTTTTGGGGGGGGGTTTTTCCTTTTCCCGGGGGGGTTTTTTTTTGGGGGGGGGGGTGGGGGGGAAAAGGGGGAAAAATGGGGAAAAAAAGGGGGGGGTTTTTTTTTTTTTTTTTCCCAAATTTTGGTTTTTTGGGGGGGGGGAAAAAAATTTTTAAAATTTTTTTTTTTGGGGTTTTTAAAAAGGGGGGAAAAAACCCCCCCCCCAAAAAAAAAAAAAATTAAAAAATTTTTTTTGGGGGGGAAATTTTTTTGGGGAAAAAAGGTTTTTTTTTCCCCCCCCTTTTTTTCCCCCCCAAACCCCCTTTTTTTTAAAAGTTTGGTTTTTTCCCTTTTTAAAAAAAAATTTTTAAAAAAAGGGGGGGGAAAAACCCTTTTCCCCCCTTTTTTTTTAAACCCAAACCCCCCTTTTTCCCCCCCTTTTCCCCCTTGGCCCTTTTTAAAATTTTTTTAAATTTTAAAAACCCCCTTTAAAATTTTTCCCCCCCCCCTTTTTTTTTTTTTTTTGGGGGGGGGGGGGTTTTTTTTTTTTTTTTTTCCCTTTTTTAGAAAAGGGGTTAAAGCAAGACTACACCACACGTTGTGGGTTTGAGACTGTTGGTGTTTGCGTACGTGGTGCTGCATGTGTGTGGTGTTGCATAGCATTTCGGCTTGTGGTGGGGGGTAAGGGGGTGTGCTGTGATTGCATGCATGCATGTGGTGTGTGTGTACGTTGGTCGGTTGGTGCGGGTGTGTGCGGCTGTGCGTGCTGTGCGTGTGTGTGTGTGGGGCGTTGTGTGCGTGTGTGTTGTTGTTTGTGTGGTGGTGTGTGTGGTTGGGTGT